AACCCTAAACCCTAAACCCTAAACCCCAAACACTTCATTCAGGAGAGCAAAATAGGCGGAAAAAATTATAAAGAGGGAACAAGACAATGACTCTAAACCCTAAACCCTAAACCCTAATTTCTATAGCAGGGTTGCTGGGGGCTGCCCGTTAGGGGCTGAGGGTCGTGGGGTTGTAAACCCTAGAGCCTAAACCCTAAACACTAAACATTAAACGCTAAACCCTAAAATTAAATCCGTTAAGATTCGTACCAATCTTCTGTAAACCCTTTTTCATGAGCTGATAGATAGTTGTACTAAGACCTAATTCGTTGTGTTGAGGGTTGAGGGTTTAGGGTTTAGGCTTTAGGCTTGGGAAGCTCGAACCAGTTACACCGTTAATCGATCTAGGGTTTAGGGTTTAGTGTTAGACCCTGTTTAGTGATACACATGTTCTGCTAACAGCAGCCACAACAACAGAAGGAGGAGCGGCAGCAGCAACAACAACAACAGCAGCAACAGCAGCAGCAGCAGCACCCATACAGAGGCATCAGCAGCTAAAGAAGGGGCGCAGCTACAATTAGCGGTGGTCGCAGCAACAGCAGCAGCAGCAGCAACAACAGCAACAGCAACAACAACAACGGAAGCAGCTGCGACAGCAGCAGCAGCAACTGCAGCAACAGCGGCAACAACAGCAGCTGAATCAGCGAAAGCAGCAGCAGCAGCAGCAGCAGCAATACAGCCTCTCTACACACAAAGTATACCGCCTACATGGAGCCGCCGAAGTAAACCCTAAACCCTAATTGCTAAACCCTAAACCCTAATCACTCTCCAACTATTGCCAACACGTAATTGGCTTCCGCAGGAATTGAATCTGTATGCCAAGGGTTTAGGGTTTAGGGTTTGTGTAGGGTTTGGGCTGGTGAATGTACCTGCCATGTTGAGGATCAAGGGTTTAGGGTTTAGGGTTTAGGGTTTAGGGTTTGTGTTGCTCAGAGTTCCTGCCAGCGCCTTTGCCTTATTTTGTTCAAAGCGCCGTTTGGATGTCAAAAAATCTCTTGAGGAGAAAAACCCTAACTCCAACGTAAACCCTAAACCCTAAACCCTAAACCCTAAACCCTTGATCCTCAAGTCCTAGTTAACCCTAAACCCTAAGCCCTAGGATCCGGATGCCAGCTGTTAGTCGTGTATCCATTGACGATTTAGGTTTGTTGTCAAGGGTAGGGAATTAGGGTTTAGGGTTTGTACCTCAGCATAAGTGTTTAGGGTTTAGGGTTTAGGGTTTAGGGTTTTTCTGCTGCAGCCACAACTTGGAGAAATTCAGCGGGAGCTTTCTTCTCTATGGAAGAACATAGACCCTGAAGAGAAGCAGGTAACCTCAAACCCTAAACCCTAAACCCTAGAAAGGGCCATCTAACAGCAATAAACCCTAAACCCTAGCTTGCTTTGTTCTGGCGGTTTGCTGCAGCGCTACAACGAAGAACTCGAAACCCTCAAGCAGCAGCGCCTCCAGTGGCAACAGCAGCAACAACAGCAGCAGCAGCAACAACAGCAGCAGGAAGCACAGGACTCAGAGGGACCTAGGTGAGCTACCAAAGTCCTGCTGCCTCCTTCTCACTCAAACCCTAAACCCTAATCCTAGGCCCTAAACCCTAAACCCTATCTCCGCGGGTTTCTGCAGGACTGGAGCAACACCAGAGTTTCCTCAGGCGCGAATCACCCGCATAGCGAAGCTCTCCCCTGCAGTTAAAAAGGTAAACCCTAAACCCTAAACCCTAAACCCTACTTATAGATGTCTGTTGGACAGATGATCAGCTTCTAAGGATGAGGGTTTAGGGTTTGGAGTTTTTCCTTTGCAGCTCTCTGCGGATGCAGCAAGGAGCCTCAATTATGCAACGGTGAGGGTTTAGGGTTTAGGGTTTGAGGGTTTGAGAGCCACAGTGACTCTCGCGACTGCACCTCTCTACGTTTAAGGATATAATATACCGGGTCGAAGATCTAGGGTTTAGGGTTTAGGGTCTAGGGTCTAGGGTTTAGGGTTTGGTGTTTCCTCAGGCAGCAGCCTTGCGTCTTTTTACAGCACAAAGTCTGTCAGGAAGGGAACACGACAAAAGTCTACATGTAGATGATGTTTGTAAGTCTATTAATTCTTCAATTTCTAGGGTTTAGGGTTTAGGGCTTGGGGTTTAGGGTTTAGGGTTTAGGGTTTAGGGTTTGGGTTTGCGAGTTGTTTGTGGTGTTTTTGCAGTGGCGATGATAACCAGAGGCGGGATGCCCATGAAGTTCCTCCAAGGTATTTTTTAATTTGGGTTTAGGGTTTAGGGTTTAGGGTTTAGTATTCAAGGTTCAGAGTTAGGGTTTAGGGTTTGGAGATTAGGGTTTAGGGTTTAGGGTTTAGGGTTTGTGTCTCAGAGTGTAAGTACGCGATATCCGAAGACTTTTGTATGGAGGAAGAAGAAAATCTTGCGGATGGTCCTGTGCGTGTAGAAGCAATGGGTAAGCAAAACCCTAAACCCTAAACCCT